TTTCTGTCTGTCTGATGTGACTTCACTCTGACTTTACATCCCGGTCATCAGGAAAAGATGTTATTGTACGTTTCTGCAAATCACAAATATGTTACGTGTCATCTCAACGTTTCTAAAGTGACAAAGTGTATGAGCTGAGTTTGTCATCTAGAGGTGGAGGGGACAGTGGACGGTGTAACACTGAGGCAAGATGGCTGCCAAGCTGCTGAAGACCACTGTTTTTTTGTTTGTTTGTTTTTGTTCAGCGAGTCATTGCTGTGTTTCCAGCAGCTATTTTGGCATCAAATGTGGGTGTATGTAGCGGCCCGTCACTATTTTTCATGCGGGAATAGTACCCCAAAAATTGGTTGTTTTTTTCCCGGTACATTGCTACTCTTCCAGCAGGGTAGAGCCACAAACAGCAGTTGTTTTTTACTGAGACATTGCTGCTTTCCAGCGGAGACTGTGCTAAAGCGGCCTTCACATGATAAGGACAACGCGCTTCGCTTACCGTCAGGTACGGCACAGCGGCGCGGTCAAAGTTCAAATAATTTCAACTCTGAGTGCAACGCTCGAGCGGAAAATCCGAACAGTGCGCGACGCCAAGGGTAGCGGTGCTGCTTCGTCAGGCGTTGCCGCCCTCTCCATAGACAAACAATGGGACAGCCAGCGCAAAGCAGTTTTACAGATGATCATGTGCAGAGGCCTTAAGAGAGAGAGAGATCAGTGTTTTTCTAGCGGAGATAATGCCACAAAAAGTGGATCTTTTTTAACTGGGACATCGCTGCTTTTCCAGCAGGGACAGTGGCACAAAAAGCTGCTGTTTTTGTTTTAATTTTATCAAGACACTGCTGCACTCCTGCCTGAAAAATGCCATAAAAACCAGTTGTTTCTTATCAAGACTTGTGGCAGCCACACAAGGTACCTGCTACATGATAACATACTAATGTAACGTATCCATAGTTTGCAGAAACGTACAGTACCAACAGCTCTTCTGCAGACTGGGCTGGACTTCAACAGGAACAGGAAACAGTTGTTTTGTCATAAAGATGTGATGAGTTTGACTGCAGGTTTAAACCGCTGAAAACTGACTTATCTGGGTCCTAAAGATTAAAGATGTGTTTTTGGCAGGAAGGCGAACGATCAGTGATGAAAAACAACCTTACCAAGAAAAACAAAACATAACATTTGGATTAAAGAGATAAAAAAAGTTAGTTTTTATAATTAATGATAAACTAACATCAGCTGCGACACTGATGACGATGCTGCTGTGCGGATCCTTCACTTAGAAAATAAAAATTGGATCATTCCCCAACGACGCCAATCATAATCAGCCGTTAAAACAAGGAACCAATCACAAAGCTTCTGTAACACTGATTGTGGGGGGTGGGGGTGGGGTCAGCGCACCCCTTTTTTTAAAAGTGCACCAATCAGAGTGCGACGTGCCCGACTGCTTCAGGACAACAGGTCGAGTCTGCTGAGCTGAAGAGAACAAAAACATACAATCGTGTTCAGGAGAGTGTGCACGTGTCAGGGTCTCGATACATGCGGTGTCATCTATCAACACAATGTCCTCATCACACTGTCATATCATGTCATATCATACACTGGATCGTATCATACAGAGGTGAGAGCTGGACGGGGCAGGTAACAGAGCGGCTTCAGTCCTGTTCAGACCGGATCACAGTTACACAACACTGCTGGCTCTTAGTGTCTCCATAAATCATTCAACCCTCCCAAACGTCTGCGTGGGTGTCTCTGCACTTTTTGGAGAATACATCATGCAATATTTCTGCCTGCCGACTTCACTCAGCACTGTGAAACTTTTCATCTGCTCAGACCCTGAACGCAGCGTGAAGACAGAGACAGGAGGACGCTTCTGTTCAGACATCAGAGTTTTATCAGCGCTTCACATTCCTGACGATCATTTTACAAACCAGCAGATTTGAGACGGAGCTGCTTCCTTCCAGAGAGATGATCCGTCAGCTGCGTGTGATTCTGATCAAATGTCACAAACACTGTTACTGACACTGTCCTCTGTGGTGCGTTCAAATACCCTCAAGGTTTTAGTCACTAACTGTAAGATTTTACAAAGGCTGGGCATCTTTCAGGGTCACTATCTGCAGACTACAACTAGATCCTGTTCAGATTATTTCCCATCCTGCTCCTGGTGTCAAACATCACCCCAAACCTCCTTTAAGAAATACGACATATTAATAATTCTGCATCCAGAAAGATAAACTACAATTACCGCCTCACGGCTGTTTGCCTCTGCGAACCAAGCTGCAGATTGCATCCACGTCTGTCAAGACTCATATGTTGCCATGACAATGGGCGGTGCTTCAAATGTGGACTTCGCTGCAAAGTTGCGACGTCGAATAACGGCAAGAAAAATTTACGATGTCACAGTGAAGTTGACCTTTGACCTTTTTGACAAAAAAAAAACATCACTTCATTATTTTATGCTGTCGGACATTTGTGTGAGATTTTGTCATAATTAGTGTATGAATTCTTAATTTACATGTATTTTGAGGTCACAGTGACCTTGATCTTTGACCATCAAATTCTATCAAGTTTATCGTCGAGTCCAAGTGGACGTTTGTGCCAAATTTGAGGAAATTCCCTCAAGGTGTTCTTGAGATATCATGTTCACAAAAATGAGACGGATGCAAAGACACAGTGACCTTTGATCATCAAAATCTAAATCAAAAACCTGAGATAATGTGTTCACGAGAATGAGAGTGACAAGGTCACAGCGATCTTGACCACTGACCACCAAATTCTGTCCAGTTTATTGTGAGCTCAAGAAGACATTTGTGCCAAACTTGAGGAAATTTCCTCAAGGCAAGTCGCACTTATGAGAATTAAACAGATGCAAGGTCACAGTGACCACTGACCATCAAAATCTTATCAGTTCATTCTTGAGTCCAAGTAAACGTTTGTGCCAAATTGTAGGAAACTCCCTTAAGGGTTCCGGTTATATTGCGTTCACAAGAATGGACGTGAGGTCACAGTGAAACTTTGACCACCAAAATCTAATCAGTTCGTTGTTTAAATCCAAGCAGATGTTTGTGCCAAATTAGAAAAAGTCCCTCAAGGCGTTCTTGAGATATGTTCATGAGAATGCAACACACAAGGCCACAGTGACCTTAACCTTTGACTAGTTCGTCCTTAACTCAAAGTAGATGTTTGTGCCAAATATGTGTTTTCATTTTCACGTCCATCTTATTGTTTGATTACGGTTTGTCTTTGGCCTCGTTTCCACTTACGTATATGACTGGTGTCCGTAGATCCGTAAATATACAGATGATGCCTCTAGTGTCCAACGCAAGGAAGTGCATTTCCTTATGTATGGATAGAAACCTGATAGAAACTACCTGTGGCCTGTACCTGTAACATTACTCAGATTCACGAAGTTATTTTTAATCATCAGCCTGTTAGCAGCCTGTTAGCTAAGCTAGCACACTGTCATACGGTCTCTCTCAAATCCACTGCCAAAGTTCACTTCTTTTTTTAACTTATTCGAGGCAAATTGCGGACCGAAATATTACAGAGGAGGAGTTTCACAGGCATATTCCAAAGGAATGAATGGACTGAGGTGTTCACTTGTACTCCCACATGAAGCAAACAAAAAGAGTTGAATGCAATAGATTTAAAGGTGTATTTTACTGTTTCAGTTTTATGCTCTTCTGGATCACCTCTAATGATCCATCCATCCATTTTCACCCCCTTATCCAGGGCCGGGTCTCGGGGGCAGCAGGCTGAGCAAAGCCTGTTCTGGGTCTGCCCAGGGGCCTCCTACCTGTGGGATGTGCCCAGAGCACTGAAAAACTAGTTTACCCTTGGGTATCAATAAAGTAACCTGAACCTGAACCTAACAAGAGGCGCCCAGGAGGATCCTGATCAGATGTTGAACCACCTCAACTGATCTCTTTCAACATGAAGAAGCAGCGGCTCTACTCCGAGCTCCCTCTAAGGATCACTCTGCAGAATTTAACTAAAAGCAGCGGCGGTGTGCGGGCTATCGTGCCCTGGATTTTGCCTCTCAATTTGTTGTGTTATTGCAGCCTGCAGGCAGAACTCAGGGCTGAGAAGAGACTTTACATCTAAATTTACAAATTATAAGTTCACCATAACGTGTTGTTTTCTAGATTTATAGAACTGCAGCATTTTGTCTTTTTTTTTTTTTTTGTTCTGTGTTTTTGAGGATCGTCTGATTTCATTCTGCTTTTTTAAAGTCGACTCTTTGGACGGATCATCTCTCTGCAGTAAATCTCACTTCTCTGACATTGATTTCCACAGGAAGTGATTTCTGTCTGGAAGGAAATCAACATAAAAACTGACGGATGTTCTTAAACGTGTAGGAATGTGAAGCTCATGCTGAATAAATCTGCATTGACACCAGGATGCTGCGTCAGACACCAGACAAACTGTCAGTAATCTGCAGCAGGAAGTCTCCAGACACCAGCAGGTCGCTCTGATCGAAGTGTCAATACCACAAACACGGCGCAGATCACCTGACAGACGCCATCGGTCCGGTCCCAACACAACAGGAAGTCCTTCCTTCTCCTCTGAAGCTTTTTATCGGCAGTGTCTGCAACAAATCCCACGACTCCCCGACCCCGAGAAACAAACAGGATGTGGCACAAAACAGAAAAAAAAAACTCCTCTCTGATTGGACGGAACATCACGGAGAGGAAGAAGAAGAAGAAGCGCGGCATGTTGAAAGTGCGAAAGTTTTTGCATTCATCAAGAAATGAAAGGAAGTGAAGTTTCTACATGGCTTAAAGCTTCAGAGTTCTCAGCGCTCGCTCAACTCGGGAAACATCTCGTCATCGTCGTGACAGTAATGATGATGATGATTACAACGTGGCGATGAAGAGTAGGTGTGCTCGCCTCCAGGCGCCGTATCAGCAGGGCTTTTTGCATAAAATGTAACTCATCATCATCAATGTCCTGATTTTTTTTTTTTTTTTTCCCATTTTCAAACAAGCCCCTCCCCCTCGCCCTCCCCCGGCAGATTTCAAATATTTCAACATGAGCAAGAAGATTTTTCCCCGTTTTTTTTTTTTGTTTTTTTTTAAGCTTCTTTTTTTTTCTTTGTTTTCGTTGTCGCCGTCGTCGTCATCGTGGCGGTTGTTGTTGTCGTTGGTGTGGTTGTAGTTGCTTTTGTTGCTGAACAAAGGGAGTGTTAAAATGGGAGTTCGCCTCCTCCGCCTCCTCCTCCTCCTCCTCCTCCTCCTGTGGGGGGCGCTGCAGGCTATGATCCGTCCTGCTCTGTGCAGTCCTCCTGCTGCTCCTCCTCCTGGTTCCCCAGAGCCCTCCGCTCCACGCTGTTAATCGTCGGGCTCCGCGAGGACTTCAGCAGCTTCTCCTCGAGCTCGTGCAGCGACGGCTCCTTATACATACAGACTGCAGGGCGGGGGAGGAGGAGGAGGAGAAGAGGACTTTATTAACCAGGATATTAAACATGTATTTACATGTATGTAACATAAAAATATGTCCATATACACGCAATATAAAATGTGTACATGTATGTAAAATATAAAGTATATATACATGTATGAAATAAAACCATATGTACATCTGTGTTATATAAAAAATATATACACATGCAATATAAAATGTGTCGACACGTACGTGAAATAAAAAGGAAGGGGGGGGGGGTTGAGAGAGGTGAACATTAAAGGGGGGGTTGGAGGTGGAGAGGTCAAAGGAGAAGGACGTGGAGGAAGAAGAGAAGATGGAGCGATGTAAAGGAGGAAGGGGAAGGTGATAGTTGAGAGATATTTTTAAATGAAGATGGGGGAGGAGGGAGGAGGAGGAGGAGGAGGAGGAGGAGGGGGAGACACAGAGCAGCTGAAAGCAGAGACGCAGCTTCATGTTTCCTGTTAAACCTCCATCTGTGATATTAGAGCTTCAGCCTGTCCTCAAACTCAGAGCAAGTTCCTGCAGGACGACCTCTCTGAGCGATGATCTCCACAGAGCTCACACCTGACGACACACGCTGAGTCCAGGTGCAGCGCGGAGTCGAAAAACACCCTTTGAGTTCTAACGTTGATGTGATTTTTATGAACACAGACTCCTCATACAGTTCTCACATCTCGTGTTATTTCTTCAGCTGCTCAGTGACAAGTTCAGATGCTAACGGTTTCCCTCTGCCTCCAGTATCTGTGCTAAGCTAGGCTAACCCCATCTAGATCTGTTGGTGTGGCTCTGGACTGAGGAGACTGACGTGTGTCCACAGGTGTGTCGTGGGTCTCACCTTCAATGGGTCTGGGGACGAAGTGTGAGCAGGGTTTGGTCTTCTTCACGCGGTTCCCCTTCATGATGATGCCGTCCTTGTTGAGGCCCAGGAACCAGGCCCGGCCTGACTCGTGCTGCCGGTACAGCGTGGACGAGTAGATGACGTAGTAGTTCTCAAACACTGACTCCTTGAACTTACACTCTGCTGTGAACACATCCTGACACACACACACACACACACACACAGTGAGAACATCATGTTTAAAGTCAGTTTAAATCAGCACTTCACAACAGTCTTGTATTTTCATTGATAGAAAATATGATAGATGAATATGTGATGACAGAAACAACAGAATCAACTGAGGCTTCTTCTTCTTTCGTCCTCTGAGCTCCACAGAATAGTCCGTTCTTTTTCTTATGCAGCAGGTGTGCAGCAAATGTCAATAAATGAACCTTGAAGATGTCACGACTGCCGGTTACTGAAGCCCTCTACTGTACATGAAGTTTAAGTCAACCAAAATAAAACAAGAATATTTTAAAGTTTGAAAAAGTTGTTCACACGTGCAGTATTCAAATTGAATTTAATTTGAATTTTATTAACACACAAAATGTGATAAAAACAAGTATGTAAAAATAAACATGGCAGAGTTTGTGCAGGAGAGAAAAGACCCAAAATGGGCTCGTGGTGAGATCTTCCCCTCTAGAATTTAAAATCTGTTCTATTACAAATTATATTCCTCTCCTAAACATGAGAATATAACAGACAAAACAAGAAAATATAATAATCAGAAATGGAATACACACATAAACTCAGAGTGTTGATGGAGAAACTATGAGTTAGTGAGAGAGGGGGCGGAGCTGTGAGGAGAGTTTGAGAGAGGAGAGGTGCACAGTGGATTGTGTTATGTGACCCTATATTGTTATAAAAGGTGTTGTCTAAATCTATATCTTGCTTGAAAATATATTGACATATTGTAAACAATTGATATACCGCCCAGCCCTGGTTAGTAGTATAGACATTAGAAATAGAAGAGGCTCCAGTAGAGAGCCTTGAGGCACTCCACAATATAGTTTGATTTTATCTGCGATACAAACATTTCATAATCATGGGCATCCTGGGTGATCCGATTACAAGTGAAAAGACCACGACCCACCAGTTGGGAACCACTGTACTAGACTGCATCAGTCTGAATGTAATGGACCTCATGAACTGAGTGTATCGGCCCTCACGTTCAGATCCTCAGCTCTGCAGGAATTATGAGTTCATGTCAGCTCTGTTTGTACAAAGAGTCCAACTCAGATCCACTCCACACTCTGATGGAAGTAAATTTAGCACATTGCTGTTCCCTCTGTAGCTCAGGTGTGTGTGTGTGTGTGTGTGTGTGTGTGTGTGTGTGTGTGTGTGTGCCCTCTGGATATAACAGGTGGTCAGGAGGAGCAGAGAGCCAATCAGAGCAGAACAAACCCACATGATGCAGAAGCCTGTTCCAACATTTAACACTCAGTGGAGGTTTTCTAAAGTACAGAAAGAAGACATCATCAAAGACACACTGATTTGTGTCATAGTTTCAAAGTTATGTTATAATTAGGGCCTTGAAAAGGTGTGATTAATTTTTTGGTCCAGAAAATGTCAGAAACAGGAAGTCATCACACAGCTGACTGCTAACACTTTGATTTGTTTGATAAATCACTGGTAAATACTAAAGTTAACTTAGTTTTGATTCTTTGAGAAGTCTGATTGTTGGTGCACTGACCTCTGACCACTAAATTCTAATTAGTTTATTCTTTGGTCCGAGTGGATGATTGTGTCAAATTTACACAAATTCCCTTAAGGTGTTCTTGAGATATGGTGTTCACAAGAAAGAGAAGGATTCAAGAGCACTCTGACCTTCGACCACCTAAATCCAATTGGTTCATCATCGAGTCCAAGTGAACATTTGTGCCAATTAAAAAAGGGTTTTTGCGTTCAATAAATAGGACCGTTTAAGCGGGAAAAGGGGAGAGAAAGAGGGGATGACATGCAACAAAAGGGCTGCAGGCTGGAGGAGAGCCGGTAGGACAGTGCCTTTGTATATGGGATGCCTGCTGTACCCACTAAGCCACCGGGCGCCCCGTTTTTGCCAAGTTTTGAGACATTTCCTCAAGGTATTCTTGAGATATCTTGTTCCCAAGAATGAGAAGATAAGGTCACATAAACCTTGACCATTGACCTTCGACCATCAAAATCCAATTGGCCACCAAAATCATCATTGAGTCCAAGTGAACGTTGGTGCCAAAACTGGATTAACTCCACAGACACAAGCGTTCTTGAGATATCACATTCAAGAGAATGAGACAGACGCATGGTCACAGGGACCTTTGACCATCAAAATCGAATCAGTTCATCCTAGAGTCCAAGTGAATGTTTGTGCCAAAATTTAAAGAAATATCCTCAAGGTGTTCTTGAGATATCATGCTCATGAGAATGAGACAGATACAAGGTCATATTGACCTTTGACCACTGAAATCCAATCAGTTAATTGTTGAGTCCAAGTGAACGTTTGTGCCAAATTCATAGAAATTCCCTCAAGCTGTTCTTGAGATATTGCACTCACAAGAATGAGATGGATGCAAGGTCACAGCAACCACACTCTTTGACCTATGACCACCAAAATCTAATCAGTTTATCCTTGAGTCCAAGTGGATGTTTGTGCCAAAATTTGAATAAATTCCCTCAAGGTATTCTTGAGATATCGCCTTCACAAGAATGAGACAGATGAGGTTACACAGACCTTAACCTTTGACCACCAAAATCCAATCAGTTCATCCTTGAGTCCCAGTGAACGTTTGTGCCAATTCGAATAAATTCCCTCAACCACTTCTTGAGATATCGTGTTCAAAAGGATGGGACGGACAAACGGACAACCCAAAAACATCATGCCTTCGGCTGCTGCTATCAACGGCGCTGAGGTATAAAACACAAGCACAATAATTTTAATGTTGTATTTAGTATTTAAGGCTCCTGCAGGTTCAACACACTCTCGTACAACATGAACACATCTGGAGATTAGTTCATTACATCCACATACATCATGTACGAGCTGCAAACAGCAGAATGACTGATGACGACACATGAAGCAGAGAAAGAAGAGAAGGCAGAAATGGAGCGTCAGAGGGAGGAAGAGGATGACGAAGAGGAGAGGAGGGTTAAAGAAACAGAGGGAATGGATACCAGCAGGCGGCCTGCATCACATATCAGGACACACCATCATTCAAATGAACAGTGTTTAGACAGCGGGAGCCTCCCAGCACACAACACAACTTTCAGCTGAGCGAGTGAAGGAGCTCCACTCTGATGTTTTTACATAACTGCACTGAGAAAGAGGAGGAGGAGGAGGAGCTGGTGTTCCCTCCATCTGCAGCCACAGCTGAAAACCTGAGTCCATGTTCATCGCTTTACCCAAAAATGGGATTTATTCCGTCACTGCAATCCAGTCACCAGATTAAATGTTGGCATTTCTGCAAACCACGGACATGTTACATTTGTACGTTATTACACAGCGGACATGTTGAAACTTTACGTTTCTTTACATTTCAACAATGCTGTGTTTAATGTGCGGGTCACTACAGAACACCCACATCTGGAGGTTAAAAGCCGCTGAAAACAGCTGTTTTTTTTTGGCCTTGTTGCCTTCATTAGGTTGGACAGTCTAAGTGTGAAAGGGTGAGAAAGAGAGGGGATGACATGCAGCAAAGGGCGAAGGCTGGAATCAAGCTCATGGCTGCTGTGGCAAGGATACTGCCCACTGAAACGCCCGCCCACCACTAACATTTTCATGACGTCTTGTCAAAGAAAATGAAACACAGATTTCATTTCTATTATCAAGATGTATTTTTAGCTAGTCATTGTCTCGGTTTTGTCATGGAAAAATCTATAATAATCCAGCATTATTTATTCATATATTGTATTCTGATTTCATAATCTGAAACTGAAAATGAACTGCTGTGAACAGATAAACATAGAGCAGTAAACAGTGCAATATTTCCCGCTAAGAAAAACAGAATCTACAACATGGTTATCTAGTCCAGTACGTGCAGATGTGAAAGCAAAGACCAGAAGTGAACACACACTGCCAGAGACGCAGGAGTGCAACAGGAAGTTTAGGACATAAATCAACATGTCATCTGCGTACAGTAAGACTTTCTTTTATCGGTTCTTGATTTTAGAAATAAAGAGCCCTAAAAATGGCACTGGTCTTCATGTGGCTGTCACCAGCACGAGGGAAACCTTATGTTAAATTCCACAGATGATAAATATGAACGGCTGAGATGAAAGAAAAATGTTCACATCAGTGCAAACTCTAAATTAAATTCCAAGTTAGAGATTTAGGGCGTCACAGTGATGCAGTGGTTAGCGGGTTCCTGGTTCGAACCCAGGGTGGGGGAGCCCTTCTGCGCAGAGTTTGCATCTCAGTGTGGGTTTCCTCCAGGTGCTCTGACATGTTCTCCCCGTGTCAGCGTGGGTTTCCTCCAGGTGCTCTGACATGTTCTCCCTGTGTCAGCGTGGGTTTCCTCCAGGTGCTCTGACATGTTCTCCCTGTGTCAGCGTGGGTTTCCTCCAGGTGCTCTGACATGTTCTCCCTGTGTCAGCGTGGGTTTCCTCCAGGTGCTCTGACATGTTCTCCCTGTGTCAGCGTGGGTTTCCTCCAGGTGCTCTGACATGTTCTCCCCGTGTCAGCGTGGGTTTCCTCCAGGTGCTCCAGCTTCCTCCCACAGTCCAAAGACATGCAGGTTAATTGGTGACTCTAAATTGTCCGTAGGTGTGAATGTCCTGGGTGAACCCTGCCTCTCACCCAGTGTCAGCTGGGACAGGCTCCGCCGCCCCGCGACCCCTAACACGATGAGCAGTTACGTAAAATGAATGATGAATTCCCAAAAGCAGACAAAAGTGTCAATAAACTAAATTAAACCTCAACAAAACATCAACTCTGACTCGTTCAGTCCATTAAAAACAATCTATATACTGTTTTATATCTTGTTTTAAGTATTAACAACAATACTACAACAATAATATCAGATATTTCAGACTTTGTTTCTGATCATCTTGTCTGACTAAAGGCTAGTGGGGGAGGGGGTGTTACCATATTGGAATAATATCGGACTAATGGAACGGATCTTCTCATTCAGTAAAAAGCCACATTAAGTCCAAGTGTCGTCTCACAGTTACACTTCCTGTGAGGATGTAACAGGATTGCAGCAGCTATGTTAACAGTGAATTTATAATAACTGCCATTTTATCTCTGTGGTCATGTTTGAAACGAAGCTTCCTGCCTCTCAGAGAAAAGCTGCCCGAGGTCACCTCTTCCTGTTTGCAATGTATCATCTCCATCATCCCTCTCTTCCTCCATCACTCTGGCTCCTCTCTGATGCTGTGCACACAGCGACTCAAGAATTGCATTTTAAAGTTTTATGGAAGGAGCAGACATGAATTATGGATGGAGGATGGACTCAGTGAGGCGGAGCAGCGATGCAACAACTGTAGCTGTACTCTGTCTTCACTGCACGCTGATGATCAGGGCTGTCTCTTAATTATCGTCACTATTAACTTTTGGTATCAAACACAGAGTGTTTTCAAATGCAACTTTTAGATCCAGAGAAATGTCATATATATCTACAGAGTTTATTTTTTAATTATAACTATATTTGCTTTTGCAGCAGCACAATACTGCAGTTTAAACATCAAGAGTCTATAATTATAATTATTATATATAGTATAATTATTGTCAAACTTGAATCATATGATACAGAAATCTGTCGTATGAACATTTACAGATTTAATTGAAAAGTTTTTGTCAGAGCACCTGGAGGAAACCCACGCTGACACAGGGAGAACATGTCTGAGCACCTGGAGGAAACCCACACTGACACAGGGAGAACATGTCAGAGCACCTGGAGGAAACCCACGCTGACACAGGGAGAACATGTCAGAGCACCTGGAGGAAACCCACGCTGACACAGGGAGAACATGTCAGAGCACCTGGAGGAAACCCACGCTGACACAGGGAGAACATGTCAGAGCACCTGGAGGAAACCCACGCTGACACAGGGAGAACATGTCAGAGCACCTGGAGGAAACCCACGCTGACACAGGGAGAACATGTCAGAGCACCTGGAGGAAACCCACGCTGACACAGGGAGAACATGTCAGAGCACCTGGAGGAAACCCACGCTGACACAGGGAGAACATGTCAGAGCACCTGGAGGAAACCCACGCTGACACAGGGAGAACATGTCAGAGCACCTGGAGGAAACCCACGCTGACACAGGGAGAACATGTCAGAGCACCTGGAGGAAACCCACGCTGACACAGGGAGAACATGTCAGAGCACCTGGAGGAAACCCACGCTGACACAGGGAGAACATGTCAGAGCACCTGGAGGAAACCCACGCTGACACAGGGAGAACATGTCAGAGCACCTGGAGGAAACCCACGCTGACACAGGGAGAACATGTCAGAGCACCTGGAGGAAACCCACGCTGACACAGGGAGAACATGTCAGAGCACCTGGAGGAAACCCACGCTGACACAGGGAGAACATGTCAGAGCACCTGGAGGAAACCCACGCTGACACGGGGAGAATATGCAAACTCCACACAGAGGAGCTCCCCCACAATGGGGTTCATACCAGGATCCCTCTTGCTGTGAGGCGACCACACTAACCACTGCACCACTGTGCCTCCAGAATCAAAAGTGTTTTTCATAAAAAGTTTGCAGCTCTGCTAGAAGCCTGATATCTTTTCAAGCTACTGTGTGACGAGAAGAAACTCAGAAACTAGAAACAAAAACTGACTCACAAAGTGAATAAGAGACAGACAGGCAGACAGACAGGCAGATAGACAGGTAGACTTTCTTACTGATGTATAGAGGAATCCCTCTGCGTTCATGGCCACGTAGAGTCCAGCCTTCACTCCCTGGATGGCCACAACCCTCAAACCTACTGGGATCAGGTTAAACAGAGCTGCAGGGCGACAGACAGACAGACAGACAGACAGACAGTGTTGGTTACTGCAGAGGTAGAGAGAGGTCACATGTACCTTAATACATCACTTAATTCATGGTAGAATGAGTCTGAAACAAAAAAATCTCTTTCTTTCAAAATGATGAAACAAAAGTGATACTTTCTACAAACAACAGAGAGAATCCATTTTGTATTTAAAACAAGGAACATCTGTGTAAACGGACATGTTTCAGCACTTTAAACTGTGCGAGTGTTTAACGCAGGTTAAAATGCGTCCTCAGCCTGCTGGATGTGACGCTTCCAGCTGATAAACACAGAAAACGCCGCTGAACAAAAGAGAGGAGAGGAGAGAGGAGAGGAGAGGAGAGGAGAGAGGGATGAAGTGATGAGAGGTGATTTAATCCTCGGGGACAGAGAGCTGCAGTGTGGGTGAGGATGAAGAGGAGGAGGTGGAGGAGGAAGAGGCCTGTGGCGATGGCTGCTGTTAATCCTCCTTTATTTAACTCAGAGACAGAGATGATCTGAGAGAGAGGGGGGAATCCAAAACATCTCTTCTTCCTCCTCCTCCTCCTCCTCTTCTTCCACTTGTCCTCTTTTTGCTTCTCGTTTCCAAACCAGAGGATTTAAGAGGAGAAGCAGCAGGATCTGTAATCCTGAGCTCATCCGGCCGCTCGCAGAGATTCAACAGAAACAAACTGAGATACATGCGTGACGTTCATGTCTTTGATTACTGACTGAAATGTGTCCGAGCAGCCGCAGCGTCAGACGTCTGCTCAGATTCATCGCCTCGTTCACTTCTTCAAAGATTACTTCCTGATTCATATTTAAATCTCACCAATCATGTTGCTCTGCTGTCAAACACAGAGCTTCACCTTTATCAGATTATGTTCCTGTGAACGTTTCCTAAAGCAGACTGAAGCGTGTCAGGGCCACACATGAGGGTGAATGGATTTAAAAGAAGAGAGTGGTTATGTTCAGAATAAAGGCGAAATTTCAGTAATAATGCCAGGCATTGGAAAAAATTATAATAATAGTCAGAGGAGAATAATTCTTTTATTTTGCATGACGTGAATAAAGTCTAAATGCTGAGTATAAATTCAGATGTCAAGCGTTAAGTTGAAATAACATTTTGAGAATTTATTTATTTTATTGCCAAACATAAGAAAAACGTTATAATAATTTCAATTTTGCTTTAAGAGAATAAAGTCAAAATATCACAAATAAAGTTTCAATGTTGGGAAGAAGTTGAATTTTTAGTATTAGTGCTCGGCATGAGGACAAAAATAAATCAGATGTTTTCCGTTTCTTTATTTTGCATTGCGAGAATAGAACCAGTTGTCGAGAATAAAGTCGAACTTTTATTATTAGAGTCATGAAAAAGACAAAAAAAAAAATCAGGAGGAAGGAAGTTTTTAAATTTTGTATAAAGAGAATTGTCATAATGTCGAGAACAAAGGTTGAAATGTTGAGAACAGAGTCAAACTTTCAGTATTCGTGCCATGCATTAAGAAATCAGAGGAGGAAGATTTTTTTAAATTTTGCATCATGAGAATAAAGTTTGAAATGTCCAGGACAAATTCCAAATATTGCCAATAAAGTCGAAATGTTGGGAAAAAGTTGAATTTTTATTGTTAGTGCTGCACGAGAAAACATCATTTAGAAGATGATTTTTTTAATACATTAATTAATATTTTTCATTACAAGAATGAAGACGAACGGTTGAGAATAAAGTCACATTTTTAGTATAAGCATCAGGAACGAGAAAATAAATCAAAGGATGTTTTTATATTTTTTTATTTTGCATTACAAGAACAGTCGATTGACGAGAATAAAGTCGAAATGTTCAGAATAAAGTTGAAATACCATTTCAAGAATGAAGTCTAACCCTAACCCATGTAAGTAGAGTTGTACTGATACCGATACCAGTATCGGAAATGCCTCCGATACTGCCTAAAATGCGGTATCGGATATCGGCGAGTACAGCCTATGATCAATCTGATACCACGTAAGCCTCACGTCAGAGTTTAAAAAACATTCTACTGTAGCCTTTAAAATGTCTTTTTACCAAATTGTGTGGCTGCACTTTAACCTGTGTCTTGATCTGTGTCAACACTGGATGATAATAATAATAAAAGTTTCATGACATTCATTCTACTATTATGTATTTATTTCTTAATATTTTACACAGAGTTTTAGGAGTTGAGACATACAACAATTCATATCCCATCCATTTTTTATTTTACGCGCTGGTATTGGATTGATACTCGGTATTAGCAGATACCTAAGGTTCAGGGATCGGAATCAGTATCGGGAGGGAAAAAGTGGTATCGGTACATCTCTACCTGAAAGTAAAATCAAAATAAAGTCTAAATGTCAAGAATAAATTCAAACTTTAAATTGTATTGCCGAGCACAGAATAAAGCAAATCAGAGGAGATTTTTTTAAAAAAAATTTGCATCACAAGAGTAACGATAAATTGTCAAAAAAAGTAAAGTTAAAATCTGAAGAACAAACTTCACGTTTCAAGATTTAAGTCAAGCTTTTGAGATGAAATCAAACTTAGCGTTAGCGTATACAGCTGCCTCGACAAAATGCCTCCTGTAGATGAATCGGTAAACCCGTACTTCAGAATCAGTTTTAATTTCAATGACATTATTTGTCTTCCAGTGCAGTCACACAGTGTGGTCATAAGAATCAGGACTTTGAAAAGATTTTTGCCAAAAATTGTGTCTGTTCAGAAGAAGAGAGCAAACAAACTCTGAAGAGGTCGCTGCACATGCTAAAGTATCAACGGTCACACATGTGTGCAACACACAGAGGATGTGTTTTATTACAGGCTGCACATTTTGACTTTATTCTTCAAATAAAAAGAAATATATAAAAACTATCGTCCTCTGATTTATGATTCGTATATCTGGCACTGAAAGTTTGACTCCAAAATTTCGACTATTCTCGTAACGCAAAATAAAAAAAAGCCCTCCTCTCATGCCAAGATTTTTTTGTGAGTTTTACTGATGAGTTTAACATTTTAAAGTCATATGTCTATATTCTTTAATGAGTCACGTGACTTGGTTGAGGTCAGTTCAGAACGAACGATCGTGCTCCGTGTTCACGATAAACTCAAATTAAACCTCAAATCAGCCGCGACACTCCTCACAAGCTTGATGAATATTTACGCCCTTCATCATAGATGTGATTCTGTCATCATCTCTGTTTTCTGCGTCCGTACGAGCAGAAACAGGAAAGAACGAGAAGAAGAGAATAAAAACAGAACAGATGGAAACAGAACATGAGGAGAAGCAGAAAATGGGATTAATGTGAGAGGGTTATTGTTGAGGAGATTCCTCCAACACACACAGATACATTCACACTGACGGCGCCAACAGAAGGTTTCTGAGGATGAGGAGGAAGACGAAGGCAACAGAAACTGTGAATCAGTCGAAGGACACAGATCTGTCGTTTAATGTCAGCTGTTCCTCCTTTTATTTCTGTATTTCTCTGTGACGTTGTCAAAGTGTTTAAGACCTGATGTGATAAATGAAACTAACAGGAGCGTCTCTGTTCGTCAGGAGTGAGCTCAAGTTATCGGCTCATCTACGAGTCTTACATTTAGATGCTTCTTGGAAACACCTCTGAAACTGAGCTGGTCATGAAATCCCTTCTGTGATGATCTGAGCTTTAAGAAGCTTTGTTAAGCTGCAGCAGAGTCGAGGTGTGTGTGCAGAGTCGAGGTGTGTGTGCAGAGTCAGGGGGACAGTGACAAAAAATACTGGCGTTGAAAATAAAACTTTGGAGCGAAGAGAGCGAAGTCTTGGCGGCGACCCACCATCACCTTGGTGTCGGTGGCCCTGTCGGTGTTCGTGGAGGAGCTGATCCTCGCCCTCGAGGAAACTCACAGAGCGGAGGACAGACGCTACGTGACACCGAAGCATAGCGGCATCGTTTTTGTGCACTATGAAAACTGCATCGACATTTCTACTGTTCAGTGTTTTAAAATTGATTCAATTTATTATCCAATTCGTCAAAGTTTTTGGCATCACAGAAATCATCCGGCCGTCCCTGGTGGTTCCCTCTGCTGTTGTTTTTGACACATAACTGTCTGGTTAAAGCTAACTTTAACTGGAATAACGTTAGCTAATACGTGTCAGCTAGCTAACGTCCACTGAACCCTGGAGTCGCCGCTCGTGGCCATGTTCAAGTTTTATTCCATTTCTGACATCAGATCTGAAACACTGGACCTTTAATGTGTGTGTTTTATTTCTCAGTTCAGTTCCTGCTCTCAGTGTCGCTGCTCCGGCTCCGTGTGTCGGCGTGAGGACGAGGAGAACAGCTGTCGGCGTGTTAAAGACTCACTGTAGTCGCTGTTCTCGTCCTTGTTTCCACTGATGGCTCCATCAGGCTGCATCTGCAGGAAGAAGCCCTGCTCACTGAAGAGACGGGTCACGATGCCCTTCAGCTGCGGCTCTGAAACACACACACACACACACACACACACACACACACAGAGTTTGTAGTTTGGAATCAGCACTACAGAGGCTGCAGAACCATCACAGCTCTAAACACACTTTGACCACATTCATTATTCAGCTGGATTTGATGTAAGAGCAGCGACGTGCTGCTGCTGCTGCTGTCGGAGGACCTCCTCACCTCACTCACTCTTCTTCTGCAGCTTCTCCGCGGTCTAAACCTCGTGCTCGTATACTGAAGCTAATACACTTATTGCATTGTCTCAAAATCTTTACTCCATGTTATCTCTCGTCCTTTTATTTGATCTCATTTTATTTAATCTTCTTTCACCTCTTGTCACCTTATAACATCGTATCTCCTCTGTCCTCAGTTCATCCCCCTCTCTTCTTCTTTCATTTTATCTCTTGTCTTCATGATCTTATCTCACACTTGATCTCCTCTAATTTTATCATATTTAATATTATCAATCTCTCATCTTGTCATCTCTCATCGTCTCAACTGATCTCATCTTTTTAACTCTGCATCACAAACAGTCCACCAGTCCTACACTGGTATCTATGCTTGTTGTCATGTCATTTCTTGGAGTTTCCTTAAATGCTTCACATCATTAAAATATGTACAACACAAGGAACAAAGTTATGGATGTCAATAAACCATAATAATTGATAAAAGTAAAAAACGTGTCCTGTGCAGTATTTAGTTTAAGAGATACGATCATTTCCATGAGCAGACTGCAAAGACGTTCTGATTCATCATTCATTCCTCTGGCGCCACCGTCTGTTCATCTGTAACGTAGCGTAAGAACATCGTTGTGAGTTTACAACATGTCGACGTGAACGACAGACGCCTCAGCTCTCTGCTGCAGAAAGAATAAATGTTTTAGCTATCATGGTTTTTATTTTAGATTGATACATAAACAGGATGCAAACCATCTCCTGCAGCCGAGAGACACAAACACTGACCAACGGGACCAGACTGGCCGACCCGTATGCTCTCACTCAGTGGATGGATGATGTCACAGGAAGCCAATCTTACAAAGGAGGACCACACTTGTTTGTTTTGCTATGGAAGCTAACGTTAGCTAATGTGCTAAAAAAGTTAGCGTTGCAGAGAAATCCAATCTTCCTCTTAATCCCTCCCCAGTTTCTGATGAGGTGGACATGATAACCCTTAATACACATAACCTTATTCATCCCTACAACAGGAAATACTTTTTCCCTAACCTGATATGAAGTGTGCGCTGCACATGTGAGCATTTTTGATGATGGCCTCCGTCCAGTCCTTTGGTCTTATCACATTTAACCATAGTTGTCTTTGTTTTTGTTGACGGGCAGTGGCGGCTGGTTTTGAGCCATGACTCCTTCTATTCTGGCTCCCAATAACACAACAAGACAAACACATTTTAACACTCCTATGGAGCCTACAGCCCTGTGGGGGAGAGGCAGCTGCACCTCCAGCTGATAGCATGACGTCATCGTGACGTCGGCCCCAAGAGGGTCAACCTTCTGCAGTCGTCCGGTTTCAATTGATTCGTCTTCCCTTATTTTACTTCTAATTTAACCTCTCATATTCTCTCCATCATCTTCTTTCATCCCTTCTCACGTTATCTCATTAATCCTCACCTTATGTCATCTCATGTCGTCTCCTTTAACCTGTGATCTCATGTCCTCTGACCTCACCTTATTTTAATCTATGTCCTTTTATCTCACCTCCTGTCTCCTGTTGTCTCCTCTCATCTCTCGTCTCCCAGTTCATATAATCTCATCTAATCTCCTCTCATCATATCTTGTATCATCACAGCTCACCTCCCCTTCTCTTCTGTCATGTCACCTTTCATCTCCTTCCTCCTCTTGTCACCTCGTCTCCTCTCACCTGCTCTAATCTCACTGAGTCACATCTCAGGCAACATCATCTCACTCTAACGTCTCATCATTCCTCATGTTATCAGTCTTTGATTATTGCAGCACTCTGTGACACTGCAGAAAATAAATACGTGTCACTGTACGAGAGGCTCACACTGATTCGTCAGATTTTCCCGTCATACGTTCACTGAAACACACACACAGCATCACACCTGTCCGTGTCCGGCCCACATCCTGCATCCTGCCTGAAGGTGTGAGGACGTAAACATGATGGAGGCCGAAGACATGAAGTGATGCTCCACATGACAATGTGGGACAGAAGGACTCATCTCCGGCAGAAATAGACCAACATACAGAGAGAGGCTAATATGGAGCAGGCTGCTGTGCTACTTAACATTCACACTGACAGACAGACTGGAGCCCAACTGGTGGGTCGCGGTCCCAAAGTGGGTCACGGGTCCACTCTGAGTGGACCGCAAGTGACTCAGGGATGAGTCAAGTAGGTAAAAACAGACTTTATTTTAGAGTACAGTGAATTTCTGGCATAGAGCTTTTATTTTGAAGTGCTGTTTCCTGCTGTAGAGTGAGTGACTAACAGACAGCTACTCAACAGAGGCAGCAAACTAGCTCCAGGACACGGCCAACACATGTCCAAGACCTTGAACTCATGACTCAGGACAAATCTGGACCCTGTGACTGGACCAGTTGGGACCCACTGGACTAAAGAGGCCTGAGCGGGCACAGCGCCAAACCTGGGTTAGAGGGAGCTACAGTCACGTCACACAATGGTGTAACGATATCAATTCAGTGAGCCAACATCAATAATGCAAAGTGGAAACTCTGATCCATATCATCGTAGAGATGTGCCTTTATTTTGAGATTCCCACTGCACATCTGAGTCATCGTCAAACAATGGCAGGCAGGTAACGGCCAGAAGAGAAAGACAATGAGGTCATTTACTCAGGAATAAATCAGCAGTGTGGATCTCAGAGAGAAGATGAGTCAACAGACGAAGCACAGACACAAAACACTCGGGAAACACGATAAACCTGCCTGGTCGGTCGTCTTACTCAGCCTAAAGGTGCGGACACACCAAACCGACATCAAAGAACTAGCGGCGACGAAAGCCAACTGTTGCGTCGTCTACGTCGCCTCACGTCGCCCTGTGTCAGTTGCATTTGAACACACAACACGGACTACATCCGACGGCCAAGTAGCACGTACGTTCTGCGCCTGCGTGAGAGAGAGCGGAGTGAGAGAGTGGTACATCCTGTCAGCCGAGGGGTTTCCTATCTGTGCAGCCGAGCACCGCAGCACCTCCACCTCTGGACTATTACATCCAGACGGTCCCGGTGTTTCCTCCGCAGGCTCCACTTCACTCAGCTGCCCGATAAACCCGCTGCTTTTTCCCACTTTAACCTGAATAACAAACCAGGGCTCGGTGCTCCGGTTGGATCCAAACGGAGAGCCGGGGCTAGCTCAGAGACTAGCGGAGGCTAACTGGCTGTGCTTCCCTCCGGTCATGCTGCAGCTAACGCTCCGCTAGCCGCTCCCAGCTAGCTCCGGTTTGTTATTCAGGTTAAAGTGTGAAGAAGCAGCGGGTCTGTGGGGCAGCTGAGTGAAGTGGAGCCTGAGGAGGAAGCAGCGGTTAGCCCAGGTTTCACTACAGGCAGATTCACTCGCTACAGGGGCGAAGAAATAAAACCTGAACAGCCAATCAGAGTGATCTCTCTCACCAACAAGCTCCGCCGCTGATTCAACATGCTCAATCGCTGACGCCGAAGTGCCGATGGTGCGGGACACACCGCAGAAACTAGGCCGACAGACGCTCACCGACGGCCCGACTTTGGTCGACAGACGACCGTCGGCTTGGTGTGTCAGGGCCTTAACTTGTTGCTAGCGCTACGGTGACATACGCTGCTCTGGAAAATTGTGTATACAAGCTGAAATTCAAGCGTGCTGTTCTTTAGGGAGATACTGTCACTTTAACAGATGGTGAGTAAGAAAAAGTTTAAATGATCCATTATTTCGTTCAACTATGAGAAAGGCTGCAACGTATGAGATTTCCATGTTTCTGATCATAAAGTCAGTTTAACTGTTTACATTCATTTATGATTTTTATGTGTTGTCATTTAGAAAAAAAAGAGTGGCAGGATCATAACTGGATTGAAGTGAAATTGGATCGTTGTCCAAAGAATCAATATAACATCATAGATATGTGAATAACATTGATCATGCTGGTCCTAACATTGATGGGGACGACACTTGACGCACTCCACCCAACCGAACAACGTTACAGACCATGAACCCCCCCGTCATTACACAACACTCCCCAACAGCAGAGGCCCCCAGCAGGACCATGCAGCATGCCACACCACAAGAACTGTTCAGGAACGACCCAAGAAATATGACAAAGAGTTCAAGGCGTCAACCTGGTCCCTAAAGCCACCAGATCTCAGTCTGATCGAACATCTGGTGCGTGCCGGTAACTCATGTGAAAATCTACAAGACCATAAGAATCCAACGCCTTGATGCCAGACACCACAGGATCTCTGGGGAATCTGAAGGCCAGATTGATGTCTTGAGCTCTTTGTCACGTTGCTTTGTCCTACGGGAAGGGAGGAGGGGCTCTGCTGTTGCCATGAGAGGGGGTACTTGGTCTACAACAGTGTTTGGGTGGGTGGAGGGTGTCAAGTAGCATCCACATGAATGCCAGCGCCAAAGGTCTCCCAGCAGAACGTTGCATTGTGACGAAATGACTAATGTTAATCACTTCATCTGTCAGTGGCTGATCAGTGTGTGTACTGTGTATATATTCAAAATCCAGAGGTATTTTTGTGAGAGAAGCTATATTTATAAGTGTGTGTGTGACACTGTGTGAGGAGGTGTGAATTTTTAACACATCTCTGAACCTGCAGGGTGAAAAATAAAACACCTCATCACATGCTGCTTCCTGAACTGAGACGTGATGAAGATGACACATCCTTTAAAACTGAGCCACGTGTTAACGAAGCGCCGTCACATTTCAACCAACTGTTTCAACTATGCTGCTTAAAAATAGAATAATATTTAAGAATAAAAATCTGTTCCTGCGACACAACGTCTGTCTCACAGAAAGTGATGAGTTCTATACTTCCTGTTTGTTTTGGACGACACAGCTGCCAGAATAAATGTTGGCTGTGTCCTTCTCTGCAAACCATGCACGTTTCATTTGTGCGTTTATATATGGCAGATATAAAGAAAGTTTATGTTTCTTTATGTTTACTTTATATGCTGTCAAAGATTGTGGTCAAAGTGTGGATGTGGTTATAAAAACAACATGTTTTCGCTTGAAATATACCCAGTTTGTCACCAAAAACACGGCTGGAAATGTCCCAAAGTCTTGTTAAACCATACCTGGTTTGGTCGCCACAAACGTGACTGGGAACACCCAGGTGACACGTTCCAACATACCCACTTTGGCGGCTACAAACATGAATAGAAATGTCCCAGTGTCTCATTTAAACAAACCTGCTTTGGTTGCCAAAAACACCGCTTGAAATGTCCTGATGTCTTGTTAAAACATACACCAGTTTGGTCCCCACAACCACGACTAGAGATGTCCTGATACCCAGTTTGGGAAAGTCTCTTTATAACATACCTAGTTTTGTCACCACAAACAAGACTGGACATGTCCTGACGTCGTACCGGTTTGGAGGCCAAAAACACGGCTGGAAAAGTTCGGATGACTTATCTAAACTGTCCCATTTGGTGGCCACAAACATGACTGTTAATGTCTCAATGTGTCTTTAAACACACCTGGGTCTGTCAACACAAACAAGACTGGCAATGTCCCGATGTCTCGTCAAAACGTCCAGTTTGGTGGCAGCAAAAACAGCTGGAAATGTCCCAATGTCCTGTTAAAACATAACCGGTTTGGTGTCTACAATTATGACTGGACATGTTCTAATGTCTCTTTGAAACATACTTGGTTTGGAGGCCAAAAATACAGCTGAATAAGTCCCAATGACTTATTAAAACAGACCCGATTTGGTGGCCACAAACATGACTGGAAATGTCCTGACGTCTTGTTAAAACATACACCAGTTTGGTCCCCACAACCACGACTAGAAATGTCCTGATACCCAGTTTGGTTGCAACAAAAACAATTGGAAATGTCTCAACGTCTCATTAAAACGTACCTAGTTTTGTCACCACAAACAAGACTGGAAATGTCCTGATGTCCTGTTAAAACATACTCGGTTTGGTGGCCACAAATGCAGCTGGAAATGTCATGGTAACTCATTAAAACATTCCCATTTAAGTCGCTACAAACGAGACAGGAAATGTCCCAACGTCAAATGAGAAATGTTGATATGATACATAATAACTTATGTGTAAGATATCTGGTGTTTGTAGAAACGTCCAATGCCAACATTTTCTTTCTGGTGACTGTTTGAGGATGAACGAAAGGCAAATTTGAGTTATTCCACATATATTTTTGAAAACATCGTCGTTCTTTCCATAAAGAACTGATGGAAAAAGTATCTACAACAATTTTGTTTCATTTGGTTCTGACCTCATATAAACTCTGATTTCATTTTTCATTTTTACATGACTGCTGAGATAAATGTTCAGTAAATTATAAATATATTTTGGTCGATCAAGTTTTGGAAGTGAGAGTAAATATGATCATCAGCATGAGCAGTGACAGAAAACAGCTGAACTCACAGAACACGAGAGACACCGTCCTCCAGAGGACGTCTGTCCCTCTGAGAGTATTTAAATGTGAAGATGGTTATTATGAATGAAGCATGTTAATGGATGATGTCAACAGCTGCTGACAGCAAGTATTGATCGTGTGGTTGATCAATAACCGACAGCCTTTGTGTCAGAGTCACTGTGAGTCAGCAGGAAACAATCAGCCGCTAAAAGCTACGACTACTTTATGTTTTATATCTTTGAATCACATTTTTGTTTCATATTTTTCTTAAATTTTACAGGATCAGTTTTGGACGGAGCACAATTTCATTCAGAGTATGACCGAACATACAGGACGAATTACCAACTGGCCTTTATGTATTTGTGCAGCTCGCACCTCCGAGACTGTTCTCCAGAAAAGATCGTCAGCATCCATTGATTCAATAAAATACCCCAAAATGTCACATTCACTTCCTGTTTCCTCCCACCAGTCATTGTTCTCTCAATCATTACAACCATCATAAGGACACAAATGTCATCACTGGGGGGCTCAGTGATGCTAAATGCTGACGTTGAAGTTGAGGTGACTCAGCGATACAGCGGCTGCAGAGACGACTCGCTCTGCAGCCTCCTCTGTTCCTCCTCACTGCAGAAGTTGGAGAAGTTAAACAAGTCTCTGAACTGAAGCAGCTGATCAAGCACAAGCTCCGTATAACGCTTCCTTTAAGAAGCTGTTTGTTGCATTGCCAAGAAAACATGAAGCGGTTTGCAGCAGCGGGGAGTCGGCTAATGAGAGACGCAGCTCATGAATGTGTTAATGCTAAACGTGCGTCCAGCGGTCCAACACGCTGCACGCTGCACACTCCTGCTCCGAGACGCCAGCGAGGAGTTTCCTCAGGAGGGAACTTTTAACTTGTTACTCTGAAGGAGGACACAGACGGTTTCTGTTATTTTCTCAAGTGAGAGGTCTCCAGACACAAACTGACATTAAATATTTAGAATCGTTGATGAAAATTATGCAAAGTTTGTTGCAACTGTGTTCATCAAACAGGAGATGATACTGAGGATCTGCAGTGAACAATTACAGCTCCAGTTAGAGCCGAGACTGAACAGAGACTCATGAAGTCGTGTGTCGACCTGATGATCGTGTGGGATAAAAGTCAGAGGATCACCAACGTTACTGCCCCTCATCCTGAGAGGAACATTAATGATGAACCACATGTGAGCGCTCAACGTATTCTTATACAACAGTTTGTGTGATATCTAACGAACAAACACCCTGTGAATTAACACTAATGTAACCAGCAAGGTCAAGAAAAGATTCATGGTTAGGCGTCACCAAGTTAAATACTTAACACAGAGTTAGGTAGGTTTGGTTTAGGAAATGTATCATGGTTTTATGTTAGGTTACGTACCTTACATAAAGGTATATACACAAAGTTACATAGGTTGGGTTTAGCAAAGTAAAGATAGGTAGATAGCGGGTAGCTTGGGGAAAGAATTATGGTCAGGCATCTTCAAGTTACGAACTTAAAGTAAAGGTATGTACACAAAGCTACGTAGGTTAGGTTTAAGAAAGTAAAGTTACGTAGATGGTTTAGGAAAAGAAACATGGTTGGGCATCGTCAAGTTACGTACTTACGTACACAAAATTACATCGTTTGGGTTTAGGAAAGTAAAGATACACATGTTAGGTTTCTTAAAAAATTATTTTGGGCATTGTCAAGCTATGTCCATAAAGTTGTGTATGTTGGGTTCAGGAAAGTAAAGTTAGGTGGGTTAGGTTTCAGAACAGAATCATGTTTGGCATCGTCAAGTTATGCACTTAATGTAAAGTTATGCACTTAATGTAAAGTTATGTTTATTTTCGTACGTTTAGTTTAGGAAAAGACGTACTTAAGGTAAATTTATGTACATAAAGTTACTTAAGTTGGGTTTAGGAACAGAATCCTAGTTGGACGTTGTCAAGTTACAAACGCAATATAAAGTCACACACTTAACATAAAGTTAGTACTTAACACGAGGTGATGATGTACGATAAAATAACTCAAAGTTCACTTGATGTCACACGGGACACAAACATCGGCCTCCTGGGGAAAAGTCTTTCTTTCTTTGACCCAACCTGCCTCCTCATGTGGGCTTTCGCTCGTCATACTACTTCCTTCTTTACCCCGATCAGCGCACGTGATCACAGCCTAAATGATTACGTGGGTTTTATAAAAATTCTGGTGCATAATTTTTCGTAGGTATATATACGAATAGTTCATGAGAACAGCCTGCAGTGTGTGTTGTTCATTTTTTGATGAGATGTCAAAGCTGAGCGGTGGGAAAAGGTGCAAACGTGTCAGTTTTGTCTCAGAGTACGAATCATACGGTCGTGAGTCTGGACTCACCTGGTTTCCGTCGCACGGGTCTTTTCTTCCCGCTGCAGAAGCGAACTTTGCTGAAGACGCTGAAGATGTGTCTCTCACACAGAGACCTCGGGTCTTTACTGGGACTTGTGCGTCTCTTGTTGGTGGCGACCTTGTCGCTGTTGGACTCACGGGCCTGACGCTTCTGACGGATCAGGGAGCTGGCGATGGCCGCCGCCATCTCCCTGAGAGGTGGACGGAGCCACTGGGGAACAAATATCCGCTCCTGCTCTGAGTGTCTGAGTCTGAGGACGAATGCTTTTTAGTCCGAAACGGGGGACATGTCTGAAGGGTAGAATCCACCAAGTGTCTGATCAGTCCGTTCTTACTTTTGATCGCTCCATGATTAGAAACTGATTCAAAACATTTCAGATCCACTTTGAGAAACAGAGATTTACATGTCCATAGTTTTACAAGATACTTCAAAGATTACTGAATGCTTCAAAACTGAATAAAGCTGAAACATCCTGTGTGTTTGATGCACTTTAGTCTCATTGTAGACGTCATTTCCTTCCAGCAGTTGAAGACACGGACGTTAAGCGGAAGAGTCTTCAGATAAGTGAGCTCGAACAATAAGACATGCAAAGGTACTCTGTTTACAGCAGAGAAGGCAACAAAGCTTTGGTCATGACGGCTAATCACGAGTAACTTTAAAATCTCTTTTAGACATTTTCTTCAGCTGAAGAACTTTAAATACGACACGTGAAATTCTGTCATTTAAACTATTTTAATAATGTAACTTTTTGCTGTTTTCATGATGATAAAACGGACGAGATGTTCTCAGAGTGCAGAAAGTTTGAGCCTCTACGGTTATGAAGGAAAACCATAAAATAACACTTCAGTTATCGCTCTGAGGATTTATCTGTAAATGCTGATTAAATGAGTTTGGAAGTTGAAACCTTCATATGAGTCTTACGATTCCTCGTTTTTAAACAGCAGCAGCACGTACGAGTGAAAAATCCACAATGCACGCTGGGTAATTTGTCAGTTTCCATCTCAGGCTTTTAGACTCTCGATGAAAGCACATGGCTGCAGGAGCTGCTGGGATTCTTGAGGTTTACGCCCCAATGGTGCGTCCAGAAATGAAGCCTCAGCGATGAATCAAAGGGCGACTCCTGCTGCGTCCTCGCATCTCTTAGGATGTTTTGTTTGTCGCCCGTTCACACATCCATCGTCAACATCAGTTCGTCGACAACTTTCAGAGAATCAGCAGCAGCAGAAACAGAACGCAGTGAAGAAAGAGAAAACGGTGATGGCGTCCAACAAACCCGACGAAGTTCAAAATAATCCCAGAGAGAGAATCCAGCAGAGAGAAGAGACGATACAGCAGCAGATTACACACGTCGACTCCATCCTGCTCTATTTTACTCCACTGTTTTCTCCTGCCTGATCCTCCTCCTCCTCCTCTTCCTCCTCCTCTTGGGCTGAGAGCTGCTGAATGTGATGAGAGGCTGAGAGAGAAGAGAGACGAGGGGAGGGAGAGGGCCAGTCAAAGAGAGGAGGGAGAGAGATGGAGAGACGGGCGGTGGAAGAAGCTCCTAAAAATATTCTGCCTGATGTTTCGTGTTGCTCCCACATCAGTCCACTCTACCTTCACTTCATCCTCCTGATACACTCGACACACCGCGGGAGCACAGTTTGCTTCTGTTAGCTGCTACTTTCATTCCTGCTGCAGTTCAGGCTGATAAAACACCAACATTTATTCAGCTCTGTTTACACTTTTTATTTTAAGTGTTTAGAATCCAAATGAAATCCACACGAGGTTTAAGACTCTCTCAGACTGACATGTCCACGTCTCCGTTGGTCAGAATATAAATCTGATTGCAATCCCTCTTTATTTTTTAGACCTTTGCTATTTTCTGCAAGACAAAACTTTGATCACCTTTGTCACGATAGCTTTATTGGTAGTTTAATGAATGTCTCATAGATGTGGGTGTGGTTAAGGCAGGTGGTAGGAGGCAGGGTCAGCACTGACTTCACACTTGGGGGCTGATGGTATTGACTCATTAGTTGCTTTTAGCTGCACCTAGAGTGTCTTTGAGCTGAACGGGCACGCCATGAAGGAGATGCCGGAGGCAAGACATTCTGAAGAGAAAAAGAGACTGAGAAAATGTTTGACACGCCACCACAAAATATCCATGTAAATATACCTTTACTCTGAACAACTGCGAAGAAGAGCGAGCTGGCCAACTGGTCCAATGGAAGGGCACCCTAAGAGTGTCCAGCGGCGTCGCCCGGTTCTAGTGAGCTGATCGCGAGGGGCAAGAGCGGTGGCCTGGCGGTGAATCCACAACACGCAACCCTCAGAAAGGAAAGGTCACACACACCCAGGGGAAGTCCAAGTACACCTCTCACATCTAATGCAACACGCAGGGAGAGGCACTAAGTTAGGGGCTTGTTAGCCTTAGTTGATGAGGTTTCAGGAGCCAGGGTTAGCATAGCAGCGCAACAGTCTTTATGGCCAAACGTGGTGTAGCAGGTTGTGGAGGTCGACGCATCTGGACTCAAAGTTCAGGTCAGTTTATCATCCATCCATCTATCCATTTTCATTGGCTTATTTGGGCAGCAGGCTGAGCAAAACACTACAGAGGTCCCTCTCCCCAGCAACGATTTCCAGCTCCTCCTGGAGGACCCCTTGGCATTCCCAGGTCAGATGAGATATATAACCCCTCCAGTGTGTTCTGGGTCTGCCCCGGGCCTCCTACCAGTGGGACGTGCCCAGAACACCTCTAACAGGAGGCGCCCAGGAGGATCCTGATCAGATGTTGACCCACCTCAACTGACCAATTTTGACGCGAAGGAGCAGCGGCTCTCTAACCCTATCTCTCAGGCTGAGCCCAGACACCTTTCAGAGGAAACCCATTTTGGCTGTTTGTATCCGCGATCTTATCCTTTCGGTCACTACCCAGAGCTCATGACCATAGGTGAGGGTTGGGACATAAATGGACCAGTAAATTGAAAGATTTTCCTTCTGGCTCAGCTCCCTCTGAACCACAATGGTCCGAACGGGCAAACCTTTGGACTCTTTGGATCATACTTTTGATCAGTCAAATCAGTTCATCCATGAAGTGTAAAATGCTTCCCAACATAAAAAACAGCTGTTCTCTCCGTTGGACATCATGTCTTTGCTCCGTTGGATGTCAGATTTGCAAATTGTCCTGTGAAAGTCCTGTGAGAACCGAACTGATACCATCCAACCATCCACCTGGTGGCAGCAGGCTAAGCAAGGTAGTCCTGACATCCCTCTATTCAGACCAGAGTCCTGCACTGGGTCGGGTACCCGCAAAAACAGCTGATTTGCGGGTGGTTTTTAAAAAACAATTTTTTCCCGGGTTCGGATCTGGGTGGAAAAAATAACATGCGGGTCGGATCGCGGGTTTTAGATAAACACATCAGTCATTAGTTTGGTAAACTACAGATAACTATCTTGGTCATTATTTACTCTCTGAGGATCGCCTCCACTATTTCGCAACGGTCATTGGTTCAGCTGTTTACACGCGTTTCACCATTTAATAACACAATTTGCGATTGGACGACAGAATCAACATGGCTGCCACCATCTAACAAGCGCCGCTTCCAAAACAGTAAATAATTATTTAGAAATAAGTGGATAAAACATACAGCTATCACTTTATAATGTTTCTGAAGTGTTTCCCTGATGGATTACTTCTCTCCTCGATGGATTCTAAAAACACGTGACGGCTCGTAACTGCTGAACGTCACTCTGGACAGAAAGTAAGTCTATTATTACACATGTAAAGTTCCTTTACATAGATTAAAAGTTTAAAAGCATTAAACGTAACAAACGAGTGCTTTTACACTCGTATGGGAGAAGAACACAGAGGGTTGATGATGGAGCTGAAGTCAGGTTTTTATTGTGAGAGCTGCTTCATTCAGGTCGTTGTTTACTCACTGGCACCTTAACTGTGGCGATATGCTGTTCAATATTCAGCCAATATAACACAAAAAGATTACTTTAAATCCGGATTACGGGTAAGGCTACGGGTCATGTTTCAAAAAGTCGGACAGGGTTGCAGTACTAATTGGCCTGATGCGCGGGTTTGTGGTTCGGGTGTGGGTTTGTACGTCGCCGGGTCGGGTCGGGGCGGATCTTGAAAACTGGACCTGTGCAGGACTCTGCTTCAGACACATTTTCCAGCCCCTCCTGGGAGATTCAATTCAATTGAGGCGCCCGCAGGCCCGATGCGGTATATTATCCCTCCAGTGTGTTCTGGGTCGACCCTGGGGTTTCCCACCAGTGGATAAGCCTGGAAAACCTCCGTTCTCCAGGAGCACCTGACACAAGGTCTTGATCTATGTTTTATTATACAACCAAATATCAGTTTGTCATATTGGCAGAAACCAGCATGTTGGCCAATTACAATTTTAAAGACAGTGTCAGCCAATACCGATGAAGTGTTGTTATTATTGTGCATCCGTAACCAATACAGTACTGAATTAGATAACTACACTGGCGTCTATTGTCTAGCCATACTTTCAATGCTTTAGTGGCATCTCAGCACGCTGAACTTTCACCTTTGTCAAATATACAGCGCACAGCTTACTGTTACCACCACATGGCGAACATTGCGGGTTTAACGAAAGAGCAGAGGCGTTTTGGTGTCAGTGTGAGTTAGCTGGTGCTATGTAACGACTGATGTTAGCTTGAGCTAACCAGGCTAACTACCTGACCGTTAGCCAGGAGGAGACAGAGAGACGTTTTGATACGACTGGGTACTGGGTTACTTCTGTCATTACTTTAAAGGTATCGAGTACCAAAGTCTAGCCCTACGGCATATCATTTACATCACTGCTAATACTCAGCCCACTTAATAAGGACAGGATCACCCAAGGTACCAAAGTCAATGACGAACATTAGCAGCAGCAGATTCAGATCAGCTGCAGATCATTTATATGAAGTCCAAGACTAAGTAAAGAGCCAAAATGAACCATTCCACTCAGCCAGAGATGGTTTGTTTGAGAAAGAAGAATATAATTATTCATTCATTCATTTAAAAAACATTTACAGTACGGCGAAGCTGCTGAACACCACATTAAATGAAGTGCAGGTGAAGCCGTGTCTTCATCAAACCATGTTAAATCCATGTTCAAACAGCAGCTCTCATTTTGCAGATGGGAAACACTCTGCTCAGGCGCCTCCTGTTGGAGTGTGTGACTGCAGGGTTACATAAAACCATCTTTATGCCCGCTTCATCTGTACAGCCTCACGAACATGTAGTCAGGGCTGAATAACCATGAGATCTGCTCTCAGACCAGCTCCCTGAGCCTGCAGGTATCAACGCTACCCGACACTCTCCAACTGCTGCTGCTGTGATTCACTCATCGCTTCACATCACTGTGAGGAGGAGAGCAGCCTCACAA